TAGTAAACTATGTTTCATCTAGCCAAATGTTGATATCTCCCAACAGCACCAAGGAAACTATTACAAAAAAAATATAGATGTCTGTGTAACATCAACTTAACGATCAGTAAATACATAAGGTATAAGGTTATATATATGTATGTCATGAAGAATGGGAAGCATTAGTACAGGGAGAGTTATCTGGTGGACATTTGCTAACTTTTCAGAAGCCTCCGTAGTCCTCTCAAATACGCTTTGCTCATTAGTCGCAAATTTTTGCATTGATTTAAGTCTGTCCTCTGGGGAAGCTTTCTGTTTTTTTTTTTCCAAAACAGCTTTATTGAGATATAATTCCTATACCATATGATTGACCCATCTAAAGTGTATAATGGATATAGTGTATGGTGGATATAAGTGTATCAATGGATTTAAGGTATAGTGAATATAATGTATAGTGGATATAAGTGTATACCAGATATAGTGTATAGTGGATATAAGTGTATCAATGGATATTAGTGTATAGTGGATATAAGTGTATAGTGGATATTAGTGTATAGTGGATATAAGTGTATAGTGGATATAATGTATGGTGGATATAATGTATAGTGGATACACAGTGGATATAATGTATAGTGGCTATAGTGTATAGTGGATATAAGTGTATAGCAGATATGGTGTATAGCGGATGTAATTTATAGCGGATATAATGTATAGCAGATGTAATGTATAGTGGATATAGTGTATAGTGGATATGGTGTATAGTGGATGTAATGTATAGTGGATATGGTGTATAGTGGATATAATGTATAGTGGATATAGTGTATAGTGGATATGGTGTATAGCGGATGTAATGTATAGCCGATATAATGTATAGTGGATGTAATGTATAGTGGATGTAATGTATAGCGGATATAGTGTATAGTGGATATAAGTGTATAGTGGATACGGTGTATAGTGGATGTAATGTATAGTGGATGTAATGTGTAGTGGATATGGTGTATAGTAGATATAGTGTATAGTGGATATGGTGTATAGTGGATATTAGTGTATAGTGGATATAGTGTATAGTGGATATGGTGTATAGTGGATATGGTGTATAG